TATACATAGCATCATTGAAACATACCTAAATTACCAAAGCAAATAAAATAAAAATACATTATTAAGAATGTTTATCAATTGAATAAATTTAAATATTCCATTCAACTGATACTTACTTCGAATCAACCATTATTATTATTATTTTTATTTAATAATAATGGTGAATTGCATTCGATAATTCGACACATAATTATTTAGATATCTATTGTATCTTCGTTGGCCGCACACACCAGAAGTGCTGTCATATACAAATTTACAATATTTATCATCTTTTTTATAACCTTTTTATCTGTTACTAGTGGTCCCCCGGTAATCGAAATTCGACTATAATTCATTGAAATTATAAGTCTATACATTATTATGATTCTATTTTCAGACTATTAATTACACTTATATAATCACCAGATTTCGCCAAGACTGCACTTTATAAATAAATAAATAAAATAAAAAGCCTTTTATTTCGTACAAGTGACATAAAAAGTGACAAAAACAAAAAATTCATGCAATTCCTAACTAATAAAATTAAATACTGTATCTGTTGTATAATATTAGGTATTATTTCCCACTTGCAAGAACCCCTCCTCGGGTAAAGGCCTCCTCCAAGGATAGCCAATCTTCTCTGGATTGCGCAATTTTAATCCAATTTGTAGTTGCTACTTTCTTTATATCATCTTCCCATCTAGTATATGGTCTTCCCCTCTTTCTTTTTCCTAGTGGACCCGTCCATGTTGTCACCTTTTTTGTCCATCTCTGGTCCTGAAGGCGTGCAACATGTCCAGCCCATTGCCATTTTAAAGTTAAAGCTTGAACTAGTACATCAGTTGCTTTGCTAATTTTTCTGATTTTTGAGTGACGGATTTTCTGTATTTTCTTTAAATTTAGCATACTACGCTCCATTCCTCTTTGGCATGTGACTATTTTGTTTTTTATATTGTTACTAAACGTCCATGTTTGACATCCGTATAATAAGCAAGGCAGAAGGCAAGAATTTAGAACTTTAGTTTTGAGATTAGTAGGCAGGTTACTCTTGAATATTTCTCTTAGACTCCAATATTTGTTCCATGTCAGTTGTACTCTACTACGGTTTACTTCTAGGTCATTGTGATTTCCGTTGAACCCTATTTGTTTGCCAAGGTATGTGTATACTTCTGTGTAGTTCAGAGGTTCGCCTTCGACTGATATTGGTGCCTTTGTGTTGTTAGTCATAAGCATAGTTTTTGTACGGTTGATTTCTAAGCCTACTTTCTTGCTAGCTTCATTTAATGATTCTATCATGGTTTCTAGTTGAAATCTAGTTTCTGTAATAAGCACTATGTCATCTGCGAATCGTAGGTGGCTTAGGTAGTCATTTTTAATCTTAATTCCGTATCCCCTCCAGTCTAGTGAGCTAATTATCGATTCTAGTGTGGCTATGAATAATTTTGGGGATAGTGGGTCGCCTTGTTTAACTCCTCTTTTCACTGGAAACCAGGGGCCAGCTGTCTCTAGTTTAACTCTATTTCTGCTATTTTTATAGATGTTTTTGATTACGTTTATGTACTGTTCTTCCACTTTTTGGCATCTTAGAGATTCCCAAATGCTGTCGTGGGATATGGTGTCGAAGGCCTTCTGGTAATCAATAAACGCAAGATAGAGTGGTCTCTGCATTTCTTGGTATTTCTCTATAAGAAGCTGTAGGGTATGTATGTGGTCCATAGTTGAGAATCCTTTTCTGAAGCCCGCCTGTTCCACAGGTTGCCTTAATTCTATTGCACTACTTATTCTCTCGTTAATAATTGAGGAAAAAAGTTTGTAAGTTGATGGTAGCAGGCTTATCGGTCTGTAGTTCCCCACGTCGTTTGGATCTCCTTTTTTATAGAGTAAGATTATATTTGACTCTGACCATTGGGTGGGTGTCTCTCCAGTTTCCAGAATCAAGTTAAACAATATTGTGAAAGGAGAAGCCAGCAAAGGTGTAGCTAGTTTTAGAGATTCATTTGTAATGTTATCCGGGCCTGGGCTTTTGTCTAATCTTAGTTTCTCCATGGCTCTTATGACTTCGCTCACCTCTATGTGAGTTACGCTTTTATTTTCAAACATGTATTTTGTATTTTGACTTTTGTTGATGTTGCTGTGTCTAGCGCTGTATAGGGTTTTGTAGTAATCGGTTGCTATATTAATAATTTCACTCCGGTTGTGTAGTGCTATGCCATCTCTTTTCAATCCGCCGATCCATGTTCTGTTTGTCCTTAATTCTTTGAAAGCTTTTTTCGTGCTTCCCGTTCTGCTAAGATGTTTGTTAATAATCTTGTGTCTGTGATTTATATAATCTTTTTTATGCATTTATTTACAAGCTTGTACAAGGCTGAGATATGATTTTTTGTAGCTCGACTTTTGTTTTTACTTTTCTGCATCTTCTGTCTCTTCTTTAGCAGATCTAGAGTATGTTCTGACAATATTTTTTGAGTTTTGACAGGTTTAGGTATTGTAGTTGTAACAAACTGTTGACTTAACTTGATAACTTTTATAATGCTGTCATAATATTCCTGTACAGTTTTGTTCTCTGGTTGATTAAGTAAGTATTGTGATTCGTCAGATTTCAAGCATTCCCTATATGCTTGTACCTCTTGATCAGTTTTTAAAGGAATGTTTGGTTGATTGTGGTATTTAGCTCTACTCTTCCTATTTTTTGTTAATATTATTGTTGCTCGGACTGGTCTGTGGTCTGATGGATAATTTATATTTAATACTTCTACGTTTTGAAACATGTGTGGTTGGTTGGATAGCATAAAATCAATTTCATTTTTATATTTTTGGTCTGGGGATCTCCAAGTCCATTTGTTTTTCGATTTTTTCTTGAAAAATGTATTTAGGATTACTAGTCGATTTTCAATTGCAAAATTTATCAATTTCTGGCCTCTTTCGTTCCTAACGCCATATCCATGGAGTTTCATGACCAGGTTTTCTTCCTGTTTTGGTTGTCCTATTTTGGCATTGTAGTCTCCCATCAGTATGTAATATTTATGAGCAGCCTCTGTTGCTATACGGACTGTTATGTAAAAGTTATCTATATCTTCTTCGCTAGTTTTTTCGGTTGGTGCATATACTTGTATGATGGATATGGGAGTGTCTTCGATAATGATGTTTAGTAATGCAACTCTTTCTGTGAATCCAATGAAGTTTTCTATATTATTTTTATATTGTTTCTTTATCAAAAAGCCCACCCCATACATACCAGGTGTATTACCTGAGTGACAGAATATAAAGTGATCATGTTCTTCAATGATTGTTCCCGAACGTCTTGTTTCGGATAATCCTATGATGTCATATTTAAATTCTTTCAATGCTTCGTTTAATTCTATTAATCGTTCATGTGATAGGAGTGATCTGACATTGTATGTCAATATGTAGAATTTCTTTTGAAGGTTTTTTTGATTCCTTGGAGGGTTTTGGTCATAATCTTCCACGGGGACCAACCGGATTGGAAGATGTTTTTCTTGTGTATTTTGTTTGTTTTTCTTGTGGGAGGGGGGTGGTAGTGGCTATATATTCTTGTTTTGATTGTTCTGCTTAATCAGTGTGTTGTTAGTATTTTTTGTAGTAAGGAAGTTGAGCATGCCCGGTTTCAAGGCACCCTCCGATAGACTAGATGATCTTTGTATCGGAGCTTGTGTTTTGTTCTTCTTGCTTGCTTGAATCTTTTTCTCATCTTGAGGGCGGGAATGAAAACGGGGGGTTTCGGGTGAAGCAGAAAGCATTCTTTTATTGGTATTTTTTGTGTTATTGTTCTTAGTTATTACTACCACTTTATCATACTTGATGATCGCAGTGTTGCCCTTCTCTCGCTCTTCCTGTACCTGTTTTTGTAGTTCTTTCCTTTTTTCCAAAATGTTTTGTGGATAATCCTCTTTTAAATAGTAAGGAGTATCATTCAGTTTTCCTCTATTTTTGTATATATCTATTTTTAAACCCAAAGTTACAAATGTCACAATAATTGGTCGAGGTTTTTCTCCTTTCTTGCCTATTCTCTTAGCCTCCTGAATGTCTGTAGAATTCAGTTTAATAGATAAGTGACGTTCTATGAAACTGGCTATATTTCTTTCCAAGTTTGAATATGAAATTTCCGTTTCTTCCACCCCAAAGAAGACAATATTCCTTAGTCTTGCTTGTTTTTCTAAAAAATACAGTCTTTTTCCTTGATTTTGTACTTCAGCTTTGAGATTTTCGAATTTTTCTTCCCAGGAATTAAACTTTTCGTCCAGTATTTTATTTATGTTTTGAGTCACTTGTTCTGTCACTTTCTCGCCGCTTTTTTTAATCATAGCTTTTTGTTCATCCAGTTCTTTTTGGATGGTTCTGAGTGCAATTAAAATTTCTTCCATTGTTTATTAGATAGCGTAACGATAGAACGAGTAACGAGTTTGTTTTGATACTGGTGGCGCCCTCTCTTCTCTTAGGTGTATCTATTTCAATGGACGTTAAATAAGAGGTCAATAGTAGTCGGGATAACGTGAAAACTGAGTTATGACGAAGTTTGTTAGCATCGGCAGATGGCGTTAATTGACGTGGCGATTTATGGGTATTATATTAATGGGACTTCTTTTTTTTTTTTTTTTTTTTTTTTTTTTTGGTCAGGAGGAAATCGCCAGACTTCCGCCCTTTTCTGGGGATACTGGGCGGGGTATGTCAGAGTCGAACTGACTAAAACCTCCTGTCGCTCAACAACCAACGTCCAAACCTCGCATGAGACAGAACTCATGACAAGGCAAAGGGGGGAAAGTGAAGCGTTTAGTGCGGAGCACATCTCTCCCATCACCCTCCCCNCGCTTGCCTGGTGCACTTACTATATCCTTGTTACGTTGTGTGATTCAGTGACTGTTGTACGTACTGGTTAAAGTTGGACAAGTGTTAAAGTGAATTGTTAAGATAACATATTATTGATTAAATCAGGAACCAAAAAGTGACATCGTTTTACTTGGTGTTCAACAAGATAATGTCTACCCTCAAGCTTACATCAGAAGTGGGATCAGGACTCTACTCTCACTGGCGTGACGTGTTTGACCATGTTCGAAGTACAGCAAAAAAAACATGATGCAGATCAGAATACTAGTAGTGGTACGCCACAAGAGCGTGAATGCAGCATACTTTGTCTGTCGACGTCATCACATGGCGTTTACTAACGGAAATACAACACGTAACAAGCTATTGCAAGAAATTAAGGCAAGTGCAAATCTCAAGTGAAACTTCGATCGCAATAATGGATCTGTCATGACGAGTGGGTAGTTCCGACACGAATCGTTTTTAAGCCAATGACTACTGCTAGAGTTACATGGCACTAGTACAGTAAAC